TATTGAAAATTAATTATATAAATACAAAAAAAGACATAAAAATAAACATAACACGAGACACCATTACTTAAACAAAGCTTTCATTTTTTATATTCTTTAGACTGACTAAAGTCTGGATTCAAGTGTGTATACTCTCTATAGTTCTATACGATACACCTTATTTTAATCTAGTTCTTATGCCATTTTATTTTCTCCCTTTGATTATTATATATGCAAGTGATGTTCATTGTTCATGTCTTTGATGCTGTGTAAAATCTATCAAATATATTATTATTACTGATTTAAATGTTTAAAACAATTGAATAAAAAAAAACTGTTTGAGGACTGTATAGATATAGATGTTTGAAAGGGAAGAATGTTTGCTTTGATGTGTCTCATTGTAATAACATAACTTTTCCGATTGCTTAAAATTTGTATAATTTTAATTCTCGGTAATCCCTTTTATTTTTTTTCAGCTCTACTTTAAAACCCAAATTCCACCCCCCGTCCCCCCCCCCCCCCCCCCCCCCCCCCCCGTCCCCTCAGCCCACCACGCACGCCGAGAAAAAAAAATCCCTTGAATTATCATTTAATTACACATTTGCATTTTCAGTTTCAGGTTGGTTTTTAATTTTATTTTTTTCTTTATATTTAGACGTTTCGTATTAGATCTATGTATAAGTAATCCATCTTAAATGAATGAAAGCAGGCTACAAGTAAGAAAGAAATATTACTATTGTAAATCTGTATCAGTCCTCACAAGCCGATGATGAAAACTGTAATGCTAAAGCGAACACACAACTGACGCTATAAATTACGTGTCTGAGGCAAAAAAAAAAAAAAAAAAAAAAAAGATACAAGTTGTTATAGCAGAGATAAAATAATAAAATAAGACTGATTTTCAAAAAACACACTAAACAACTTACACACATACAATGATGTTGAAATTTTTAGTAATAGATTAATTGAAAAACAAAACCATTTCTTCTTCAAAACCCGAACTGGTTGAATGAGTATCCTATGTTCGTATTTTGTGTTTGTATATATATATATATATATATATATATATATATATATATATATATATATATATATATATATATATATATATATATATATATGGGGGGGGGGGGGCTAATAAAATGTTTGCGGGGTGGCCCTTTTTTTCCTAGTTCCGCCACTAAATCTGACCAATCATATGTACAGAATTTATCATGTGAACAGTATTCAGTATCTGCATTCAGTTAAAACTTTTTTTTTTAATAAAAAAAAATTGATTGTGTTTATGGTTCATAGTTCATGATCAAAATAACTTTCTGCTCATTAACTGGTAAAATTAATTACTGTTCATAAATTATATGTTCGTATAACGAGTCATGGTTTGTCCAGTCTGGCTTGACGTTCGTAGTCCGGGTTGTTGATAACTTGGAGCATGACAAAATACACATTTCCCTTCTCTAGACCAGTTAGACTTTACGGTCACCATTGACTGACCTTTCTAAAACTTAATTAACTTAATTAAATTCATTAGCATATGCACTTAAAGCTCTCGAACGTCCCGATTGCACTAGAAAAACGAACGGTTACGCAAAACGGATCACGCATTTGTGGGATTTAGCAGACGAAGCGGAGCGGGGAAACCAAATTACGTCAGCTAATCGCTGACAAATCTCTCACACAAGGCTAGAAAAGGCGGGGGAACGAGATTAGTCAAAGGGAAGCAACGCTTAAAATAATCGTTCACAATTAGAGTTATCGGTCTTGATGGCTACGCTTTACTGCGTACGCTAAAAAAATTGTTTTAGAGCTGTCTGTCTAAAACTCTGTTTTATGCTTAGGGTTGACTTCACGACAATTGTGTCTATAGCAGAGCTGGTATTCAGAATAAAAGCCATTTTTTATCATAACTAATTTATTCAAGAATTTGAATAAAAAATATCTTAAGTGGTTTTCAGATATTTCCAGCATTAAAAAAAACTTTGATACAAAACTGTATCTCTCATTCAACGGTGTCTAATTAATTCCTGTCATTATTAATATTTCTCTTTGAAGTATTGTTTATGACTTAACATTGAGTTCGGTAATGGCTTTGATTTTTTTTAATGCAGTAAAGACAGATCGTGGTCTAGCAGTTTAAGCCACCTGTGACAATGGCAGTTGGCACACGTGTGAAAATGACAGTTGGCACACCTGTGACAGTGGCAGTTGGCACACCTGTGACAGTGGCAGACAGGTAGCGGTGACGTGTGGTGCAGACAGGTGAGCTGCACCTAGAGACCCTGGCCACAGGTGGTGCTTGAGGAAAGGTACTAACATGACGTCACCAACAAACATGACGTTGACGTCAAACAAGTCAACAACTACAAACACATCACCAACTACAAACATGACAGCAAGATAATTTATCTATACAACACTATACAATAAAAATTCAACCAATACACCATAGAATAATGACACCATACAAGCAAAACACAATATATAAAAAGAGACAACCCAGACAACATAAACAAATGACACATCACAAGGCAAACACCATACAAATATAAAAATTTAAAAAACAAAAATTTGTAGATAAAGTTTCCTTTATTACATGAATCCTGTCATATTACAACAATTCTTAAAACAAATGTATCAAATTTTTAAAACAACATACATGTAATATCATGTAACAGTCAAAATTTTTAAAACAACATACATGTAATATGTAACAATCAATCAAGGAAAAAGCAAATTCACAGCTATGACCTTTGAACTGCAGCTTATCATTATGACAATTGACATTTTGACATAGACATGACATGCAGACATTTTTTACGTAAACCAGTCATCCCTGACCCAAACACCCACCAAATTCCTGACTCAATCCTCAACTTTCTTCTGTCTTTTTCATTTCTACTGAAGGCCTTCATTGGACACTGTATGGTAGCTCACTTCATACCAAATCATAATGAGATGATACTGTACAATGTTCTCATTGAAAAATGGATGTCAATGAACAATGGATGATGCTGTACAATGGATAAAACCAAACATTGGATAACATTGCACAAAGGAGAGCACTCAAAAATGGATACCATTAAGATATCATTGTACACTGGATAACATTGAGCACTAGATGCTATCAAATATTGGATAACACTGTACAATGGATAACATTGTACAATGGATAACACTGTACAATGGATAACATTGTACACTGGATACCATAGAACAATGGATACCATAGAACAATGGATACCATAGAACAATGGATACCATAGAACAATGGATACCATAGAACAATGGATACCATAGAACAATGGATACCATAGAACAACGGATACCATAGAACAATGGATACCATAGAACAATGGATACCATAGAACAATGGATACCATAGAACAATGGATACCATAAAACAATGGATATCATCCAACACTAGATACCATAGAACAATGGATACCATAGAACAACGGATACCATAGAACAATGGATACCATAGAACAATGGATACCATAGAACAATGGATAGCATAGAACAATGGATACCATAGAACAATGGATACCATAGAACAATGGATACCATAGAACAATGGATACCATAGAACACTAGATACCATAGAACAATGGATACCATAGAACAATGGATACCATAGAACAATGGATAGCATAGAACAATGGATACCATAGAACACTAGATACCATAGAACACTAGATACCATAGAACAATGGATACCATAGAACAATGGATACCATAGAACAATGGATACCATAGAACAATGGATACCATAGAACAATGGATACCATAGAACAATGGATACCATAGAACAATGGATACCATAGAACAATGGATACCATAGAACAATGGATACCATAGAACAATGGATACCACAGAACAATGGATAGCATAGAACAATGGATACCACAGAACAATGGATACCATAGAACAATGGATACCATAGAACAATGGATACCATAGAACAATGGATACCATAGAACAATGGATACCATAGAACAATGGATACCATAGAACAATGGATACCATAGAACAATGGATACCATAGAACAATGGATACCATAGAACAATGGATACCATAGAACAATGGATACCACAGAACAATGGATAGCATAGAACAGTGGATACCATAGAACAATGGATACCACAGAACAATGGATAGCATAGAACAATGGATACCATAGAACAATGGATATCATAGAACAATGGATACCACAGAACAATGGATACCACTGTACACTGGATACCATAGAACAATGGATACCACAGAACAATGGATAGCATAGAACAATGGATAGCATAGAACACTGGATATCATAGAACAATGGATACCACTGTACACTGGATAACATAGAACAATGGATACCATAGAACAATGGATACCATAGAACAATGGATACCATAGAACAATGGATACCATAGAACAATGGATACCATAGAACAATGGATACCACAGAACAATGGATAGCATAGAACAATGGATACCATAGAACAATGGATACCACAGAACAATGGATAGCATAGAACAATGGATACCATAGAACAATGGATATCATAGAACAATGGATACCACAGAACAATGGATACCACTGTACATTGGATACCATAGAACAATGGATACCACAGAACAATGGATAGCATAGAACAATGGATAGCATAGAACACTGGATATCATAGAACAATGGATACCACTGTACACTGGATAACATAGAACAATGGATACCATAGAACAATGGATACCACTGTACACTGGATACCATAGAACAATGGATAGCACAGAACAATGGATACCATAGAACAATGGATACCATCCAACAATGGATACCATCCAACAATGGATACCATAGAACAATGGATACCATAGAACAATGGATACCATAGAACAATGGATACCATAGAACAATGGATACCATAGAACAATGGATACCATAGAACAATGGATACCATAGAACAATGGATACCACTGTACACTGGATACCATAGAACAATGGATAGCACAGAACAATGGATACCATCCAACAATGGATACCATCCAACAATGGATACCATCCAACACTAGATACCACTGTACACTGGATACCATAGAACAATGGATACCATCCAACAATGGATACCATCCACTCATCTTATTTTGCTCTTTGAGTCCTCCACCTCTCTCTTGACTTGACCTTGGAGCAGCATCAAGGTCTGGGCGGCCATTTTCTGGCACTCATTGTCTGGGTCTCTCTCTATTACGTCTGCTCAACCAGAGGGGGGTGGGTATAGGGGGATGGGGTGGGGTAGGGTAGGGGGGGGGGGGTGGGGTAGAGGGGGATAAAAGAAATAGATTAAAACCTTGACAGCTAATTAAGCTATACATTTTTATTATTTTAATTTTAAATAATAATCTATTAACTTTTTTGTAATTAAATAAATAGTTTCTTAGTATTTGTTAGTTATGCAGATTTTGTTTTGAAAATGCTTATTGTTATGATGAATGATTAAGATGAATGCTTCAGATTAAGTTGAATGATTACGATTAAGATGAATGCTTAAGATTAAGATGAAAGATTGATTAAGATGAATGATTAAGATGAGTATTTAAGTTTAAGATAAATAATTAAGATAAACGATTAAGATGAATGATTAAGACCAATGTTCAAGATTAAGATGAATGATAAAAATGGATGCTTAAGATTAATGTAAATGATTAAGATGAAAGATTACGATGAATGATTAAGGTAAATGATTAAGATGAGTGATTAAGATGCATGATTAAGGGGACTGATTTAGATGAAAGATTTAGATGAATGATTAAGATGAAAGAATAAGATGACTGATCAAGGTGAACCAACCCTCTAGCCAGGCCATGGTCTCAGCAATGTCCGCCTGCAGGTCAGTCATCAGACTAAAGGCTGGCACCACAAGAAAAACTGTGCTGGTACACACTAGTACAGACTGGCGTACAAAGCTGGGGAGGGTACACATGTGTCACAGGTGAGGGGGTTTTAGACAGGTGAGGTTAGAGTCAAGTCATGTCACAGGTAAGGTTTTTTTGTGATAGGTCATTTTTTTTACATGTGACGTAAAAGTCATTTTTTTAAAGGTGATGTTAGTCATTTTTTACATGTGACGTTAAAGTAATTTTTTTAAAGGTGACATTAAAGTCATTTTTACATGTGACGTAAAAGTCATTTTTTAAAGGTGACGTTAGTCATTTTTTACATGTCATTTTTACATATGACATAGAAGTCATTTTTACAGGTGATGTTAAAGTCATTATTAAACAGTGAAGGTGAAAGTCTGTTTTTGATGGGTAAGGTAAAATTGTTTTTAACAACTTAAGTAAAGTTCAAGGTGAGCAAAATCAACTGACCAGTCCGAGTGGAACCTGATTGGCCAGGTAAACTCCAGTAGAGCCCGCCCCATCTGACCAGCACCCTGAAACAGTGGACATAGAAAAGTTAAATTTATATTTGGACAAAAAATTAATTGTTCAAACCAAGGTTAATAATAAAATTCACATTTAAAAAAAAACATAACATTACCTTTTCAAAAAGTAATTTAATATTTAAAAAACAAATTTGCAACTAAAAATCAACTTCATATAAAAAAAAATTTGAGCAAAAAAGTTAAGAATGTGATAAGTGCTGGTACTGCTACTAAATATAGCACATGTTGCTAGGCAAAGTTAATTGTGTATAAATAGAATTGATTAGTTTTTTTATATTTGATAATTAGCCAGATTAATGGTAGATTAATGGAATTTTTTATTTTTTTTTAAAATGTGACAATTAGCCAGTTGTAATTATAGGTAGATTAATGGAGAATATTGAATACTTGACAATTAGCCAGATATAATTACAGGTAAATTAATGGATGAGTGTAAAATACTTGACAATTAACCGGACATAATTACAGGTAGATTAATGGATGAGTGCAGGACAATGGCCAGTGTATAGAGCAGCCTGTACAACAGTGTGTGGTCCTTGCCCAGTAGGTCCAGGCATGGCTCAGTTCTGTCCACTTTGGTCATCAGTGGGTAGAAAAACTGGCTAGCCACAGGGGCGAACCGGTTCAGTGTAGGGACTGGTTCTGGTTTTGACCTCCCGTGGACAAAACGCCGCGTGTTGCTGTCTATCCGCTTCTGGACCACCTGCCTCCAGTCTGAAGGGTCGAAGTTTGGGGAAATTTCAACAATCTTTTTGGTTTTACTGAAACAAAAGATTATATTTTTTAAAAATTTCAACAATCTTTTTTGCTTTACTGAAACAAAAGTATAAATTTTCTAATCTCCCAACTTTTTAGTCCTCCTGATATAAAAAAAAATAGTTTCCCTTTCTTTGATGAACAAAATGCTGTATATTTAAAATGTAGCTAACATTCACATACATTATTAGACCTCTTTGAGACTTAAAACAACAAGAATTAATCAAGGAAAAAGTTTTAAAATCCTCCTACACAGACATATAATTAAATTGGGATTTTAAAACTGTTTATAATAATGGAGCTATTTTGTAAACACAAAAAAAAAAATTTTATATAAAAATAGTTATAACTATAGTTAAACATAAAAATTCATTTTTTCTAAATTAACACAATAAACATCAAATGAGGAAAACATCTGATAGAAACAGCTGGTTTTATATAGCAGCTCATCACATGGATGTGGATACAAGTAATGGGAAATTGTTGTATGAATGATGTTTGTGCTGTCTTACAACTTGTGTTATCCTGCAGGGTTGAAAGGCAGTTGTAAGACAACACAACTAGCGTCTTTCAGTCCTGGTCACATTTTAAAAAGCATTACAAGAGATAAAAGTGTGTAGTTCAGAACACAGGCCATGTCAGACTATCAACATAAGACACCAGCTACCCACCTGTCATCTTTTTGTTTCTCTGGTGTGGAGAGTTCTTCTGCTGCATTACCTAGGACCTGTGGGAGGATTAAATGGCTAGTTCTATTTTGTGCTTTTATTTACTGAAAATATGACAGACACTACATTTTTCTGGTTCTAAGAATGTTTCAATGTTTCTTAAGAAAAAAATTATTTCTAATTTTAACATCACACATCAACAAAAATATTTATAATCTGATATTAATATTTAAACACTTACATTAATATTCACATATCAACATTAATATTCAAACAACATTAATATTCAAACATCAACATTAACATTCAAATGTCAACATTAATATTCAAACATCAAAATCAATAAACAAACACTAACATTAACATTCAAATATCAACATAAATACTCAAAAATCAACATTCAAACGTCTACATCCATCCAACGTTTCCCTTACCTCAAGAATGTCCATGCGCTGCCTGAGACTGTAATTTTTCTCATAGAACTGAGAACACAGGAACTCAGCCACCTACAGATGTCAGTGTTGAGGAAATATTGATTGATTGAAATCTATCATTTTAATTATTGTCACATCACACTTTGTGGAAATATTGATTGATTGAATTCTATCATTTTCATCATTTCACACTTTGGGGAAATATTATTGGTTGAAATCTACCATTTTAATTATTGTTACATCACACTAGAACATATGCCATTGCATGCTATTAAATGTCTACAAGTTTCCATAACAAGTTGCATACATGTGAGACTGAGATTTGAACTCTGACCTCCAATATGGTTGACTTGTTGAAATGTTTACTTAATAAGTTCTCCTTGTCAAGTTAAAAATAATAAAAATTGTATTTTTCTAAACAAGGTTCCAACATATGATAACTTAAATGTTTGGACTCAATGTAGGCATACCTTTTTAATGTAACCTGACAAATGGTTGAAAATGACTGCTCTGATGTACAGAGGTTAAAACAATTCTTACATTAGCTGGGCTAGTGACTGCTAGCGCAACCAAGGCTGAAAATCTGTTGACCAGGAAATTCTCAAAGCTGTGGGTGTCCTCCATGTGTAGCAGAACTTTAGTGAACTCTACTGCAATCTGGAATCAGAAGACATTTCACAAGTGGGATTTTTTTTTAAAAACCAGTGAAATGAAAAATTTACTACAAACAGCTGTTAACCACATATTGTTATCTGTTGTCAGTCAATAGTCATGTTACTTTTTCAGACCTAACGGTCCATAGGGAATATTAAGTACCATACTGTATACAGTCCATCTGTTCTTGACCATAGAATATGAAGGGATAGTGTGATCACTGTCTTAGTTTCCCTAACATGAGTAACGTATGAATTAGAGCAGGGTTGATTTTGGGATTTTAGCAGACTCGAGTATGTGATCCAAACTTTAAATTTTTGAGTTAGCAATTAAGCACACTACTACCCGACCTCGTTGACCCAATAGTCAGTTTAATTAGTCCTGGGCAATGGACTTGTCAAGACAACTAGAAACATCTTTTAAAGCTGTCCTCATACACTTGACAGAAACAAGTGTGAGTTGATCTCAACAAGCAAGAGTTCTACTACACCAAGGGAGGTCAGCATTAACTAGCCCTTGTGTCACAACAGAGTTACCTCCTCCAGGCCAAATGTTGCTCGTCTGGGTTTATCTCAACAAGCAAGAGTTCTACTACACCAGGGGAGGTCAGCATTAACTAGCCCTTGTGTCACAACAGAGTTACCTCCTCCAGGCCAAATGTTGCTCGTCTGATTAAACCCTCAGCGTGTTGCAGACACAGCTCTGTCTTGTCTGGGTCCTTGGTGCTGTAGATTAGACCTGGTTCATGGGAAGAAAAAATTGTATCAAAACCATCGACAAAAACCTTCAATACAATCTAATTAGTCTAACCTTCCATACAGTCTAATTAAAGTCTCACCTTCCATATCATATAATTAAAGTCTCACCTTCCATACAATCTAATTAAAGTCTCACCTTCCTTACAGTCTAATTAGTCTCACCTTCCATACAATCCCGCACATATTTGGGAGGCGAAATCTTTGTGAATTTTTTATCATTGGACATATCATATGGCTCCAAGTCATCATCACTGAGCAGAAAAAAGTAAACACTAAACTATAAACACTGGTACTGAAGTTGTATGCAAAAACCTACAAGATCCAATAAAAATTAAAAAAAAAAATATCCTTATTTGAGAGTTGCTTGATTTCATAATTTGGGGGTTCTGAGTTTTTAATGCTAAAGTATTGTTAAATGTTAACTTTTTAGCTGTGTAAACAGTTTCGGCACGCTCCTAACAAATGAGTAGAAACCCTTCTCACCTGTCCAACTCTGAGTCATCATCTGTTTTCTTTCCATTCTCATCTTCTAAGCTCAGCGACTTCAAACTTTCTTCAACCTTTCCACTGGGTATGGATGAAATTTTCTCTTCGGATGTGATGGCCCTGATATATGAACAATATCAAATTGGTAAGTTATAAGTTATAATGCACAAACTTTTTTTAGACAGTGTTCCAATCAATCAGTCGCAGGGAGGTAACAATGAAAAACATGGCAAGACTTAAATGAGACTATAATAGTCTCCCTTCACCTTATTCATCCTGACCAAGCCTTTACCCAGCAGTGGAGAGTTATCATTAAAAGAACATATAAGTGCAACTGATTTATTTTTTTAAAAATATTTTATAATTAGCAATAAATTTATTAAAAATTTAAAACAAAAACGGAAACAAATTTTTTAAAAGTGAAGATATTTTTACAGAACTAACCAACAAAAAGAACTATTTAAACAAACAGAACTAACCTAACAAAGAGCACTAACCTAACAACCCTACCAAAAGTAATATAGAACCAAACCTTTCCTCCTCTGTAGGTCCAGGGTCTGCTGGCAAGTCCTTGAACTCCAGGAGATCCTTGACCACTGCGTTATTCAGGTCAAGGTCAAACTCCAGCTGAGGCCCAGTGGGCTCCAGCGTGTGTATCAAGGTTTTAGCAATGGTCATCCCGGCCAGCCTCATTGTGGGGTCTGAGCTCTCCAGGTGCGCTTGTACCCCAGGCATCAACTCACGCATCAGTTCTAGAAATAAAATCTGACATTAGAGAAACCAAAAGATGCATAACATTAGGTCTCTGAAGTGTGAGAGATGATCTAACTTATGTAGGGAATAACAGAAAAAGTTATTACTTTAGTTGAACTAAATTTTAGCTAACACCAAAATACTAATTTCAATCCATAAAAAAAACATAGTTTTCAGCAATCATGACAGTCTAATTATATTAAATATCTGTCCAATATTTTTAACAAGCTAATCTTCCAATCTTATTTCCTAAACAAAATCTGTTCAAAGTTTTAACCAGCTAATAGAATAATATTATTCCATTAACAAAATCTGTTCCATATTTTTAACTAGCTAATAGAATAATATTATTCCCTTAACAAAATCTGTTCCATATTTTGAACCAGCTAATATAAAAATCTCATTTTCTTAACAAAATCTGTTCCATATTTTTGAAGAACTCACCATCCTTATGAGCTTTCTTCTCAACCTCATTGATGGCTCCCATACACACCATCAAAACCTTGGAGATGTACAGGTGCTGTTCCACTGAGATGTGCTTCATAGAGCTACCATCACCCCACACTCTCACCACATTCAAAAATACCTGCGTTCATAAAAACTACTGGTGAATCTAGCAACATTTTAAAAATAACTGCATTCATAAAAATTACTGGTAAATCTAGCAACATTAAAAAATACCTGTGTTCATAAAAATTACTGGTAAATCTAGCAACATTTTAAAAACACCTGCATTCATAAAAATTACTGGTAAATCTAGCAACATTTTAAAAACACCTGCATTCATAAAAATTACTGGTAAATCTAGCAACATTTTAAAAACACCTGCATTCATAAAAATTACTGGTAAATCTAGCAACATTTTAAAAACACCTGCATTCATAAAAATTACTGGTAAATCTACTGGTAACTGGCGAAGAGAGTTTATTTTAAACTGTAAGTAATGTATGCATTCACATCTGAATATATATAAGGTAGATGAAGTAGAGTTCAAGTTTATTTAATCTCAGCCTAAGAAAAGATCGCGTGGCCAGCACTATCCAGCAGACTTAAGTTTCTCAGATGCAAGCCAGGTACCCAAATAGAGCTGAGAAGCCTCAGGAAAGCAGAATTACCGTAAGCCTTGAAATCAAACTCGTGATTTCCATGCTAGTGAACTACATGCTGTTCCATGGGTTATTATTTTTTAACTTGTCCTACGTCTAAGATTTAATTAAAGTAAATATTTTGCTTACCTCTATCAGGAGATGTCTTCTGGTGTGTGAGGCAGATAAATATCCAATAATATTGTGAAGAATTCTTTTCTGGAAAGCAAACCACAAAAAATACTTTTAATCTTATAATCGTAAAATACTCGTTTAATTTACTTTTTTATAATTTACATGTTTTAGTTGGATTACGGTAATTATATTGTTTTAAAACCATATATCGCATGAATACAGTGATAATTGTAAATAACATTGGATAATGAAGAAAAGCCAAGTGAAATTTGTATTTATTAAGTTAAATATTGTGTAGTTTATATGAAATGATAGAATTTAGATACAACACAATATTTAATTCTATTGTTATGCACAGAAGCAGCTTTTGGTCTTAATTTAACACTATTATACTGATACAGCACAAATATGAACTATCCATGATTGGTTATAGTCAGTGAACTAAATAATGTATTCATTTTGAAAGGATTATAAAGTAAAACAATTAGTCTAAAAGTAAAGTGAAAAATGAATTTTGAGTGAACTGCAAGCAACCTACAGGTTTGCTGTAAGTTCGGTGCAACAGCATCTTCGTACACAGCAACATTTTCACGCTAGTTGTGTGCACCACACAATCTCCCAGGAACTTGTCAGCAAGGCCATACCTGAAGTGGTGAACATTGATTTTTTTTCAAATTTTCAATGCAATCAAATAAAAAAACTTATACATAATTAATTCATGTTAAATTTTATTTTACAAAATCGACACACATTAATTTCTGATGTAACCAATTTTTGGAATTTAAATTTATAAAAAAAAAAAATGTCTGCAAGTGAGGAAAAAAACTAAATGGAATAGCTTGTATTTCAGAAATTAGAATTTTTTAGAAAAAGAAAATCTCTTTCATCTAATTTACAAAATTAATTGTATATAACTCCTGCATCAACAAAGAATGTCTATGGGTATACAACTATATAATGAGAGCATCAGTAAACAATTACCAGGAGAGTTTCTTCATCATTGGAACAATAACAGACTCCAGAGTCCTGACTGGCACCCCAGCAAAAACTCTCTCACAGATCCTACACCAGATGTAATCCAGTCTGACCTTGACACTCAACTGGGGCAGTAGAGTGTCCAGCAGAACGTCTGACAAAAACAAAACAAGTCTTTTGTACACCACAGGAAATATATATTAGTTTTTCTATTCATTTTTTTGAGACATAGCTTGCTTTTATAACCACTGTTATAAAAACTATACTAAAAAAGAAACTAAAGATAAATAATTAGCATATTAGTTTGCTGACATGATATAAAATGCACCAGTGAATAATGTGTGTTATAAAATGCCAACAGTTAATACAGCAAAGAATATATCAGTAAATGACATGTGGTACAAAATTAACATGACATACGAGCAATGACACATAATTACAAAGAACATAACAGCAAATGACATGTGGTATAAAATTTACAAGCAACAACACACTAAATGACATACGAGCTATACCACATAAAACACAGCTAATTACAAAGAACATATCAGCAAATGATATGCCAGCATATGACATGACAGAACAAACCCATGATACATGTTCTAGAACATACCTGCATGTCCAGTAAAGCACAACTTGCCCACCAGCACACTGACCACAAGCAGAGACACGTTCTGACCAGCGGCCACCAGGTCATGACCCCACTGTAGCACGTCCAACAATGCCAGACTGGTCATTGGTATGTAGTTTTGTGGCAAAAATTTCTCGCTACAGAAATAAAAATAACACTTTATTTTTTTACGGCTACAGACACACAAATCATTTTAAACTTTAACCCTTTAATTATGTAGGTAACTCTGGATGTAGCCATACACATCAACCACAATCAATAGGGTTATGGTCTGTTTGTTTTTGTGCTCCGATGTTTGCCCGCAAATTCTGATAGACATAACTGTTGTAAATATATGACTATAGACCAGAAGTACCAAATTTCTTATTTATAGCTCACAGGAAACCATGTTAAAATATTTATTTTTTTTAAAGTATGCTCCTAAATAAAACACAAGACAAGATATAACAGTCTTATTCATGAAAATATTTGGGATTAAACAATGACGAAGGCATGAATATGTAATATAACGTTTTTGTTGTAGCATTTTGTATTTAAGATTTTATTTTGTAATGGAATTGTATTTTGTTAGTTATGTTTTATTAACTGATCTGCAATAATTATTTAAATGCTGACCTGTTTTCATGTTGCAGTCTGTTGGCCATTTTCTCAGGTAAGGAGGTGAGATAGCCAATCAAGATTTCTGCCTCAACATCCAGGACCTGAGTGGATGAGCTGCCATCTTCACCTGCCTGACTTTCATCCTGGAGGAGCTGAGCCAATCTTTGTCTAGTCAGGAACTCTTCCAGCAATGAGACACATTTGTGAAATTTGTAATCTTTCCTGAAATTATTGTTTCATTCTTGTCAATCATGTGTTTTACTCTACATTTAACACAACCAAAAATAGAATTAGATTAGTTAAGAAGTTATTTATTATACAATTTACAATAATATTACCTTTCTGAGTCAGTTACAGCCTGAAATAAAGAGAAAAAAGATTCTTTCGGAGGACCCTCCAAAAATATTGATTTGAAAAGTTCAGTGTTCTCTGTGCCCAGTTTTGACAACATCTGAACAGAAATCTTTGACATGAGGCAGCTGTATATTTTCATGCCATAGGTTTTTATCACAGCGCTCCTTAAGGAGATGAGAGTTGAGCTTTCATAGCCATACACGCTTGATGTCCCAGCATTCCCTTGAAGAGCTTGAGGAACTAACACTGATTTTATCACTGTCAGCCATTTTATTAAGTCCTCTTTTAAATCTGCTACACGCAGTCCATTTGTTATTTCTTTTCCTAAGATTATTGCATCTTTTTCCATTGTAATAGTTCAATTGTTATGTAATAGTTCATACCTTACGACACAATTTTAGAAATATGATCATGTGTGACATTAACTTCTGCAGAAGAATTCAAATTAATTGCTATCATCTTTAAGTTTTAGTCAGTATTCAAGATTGTCAAAATTTCAGCTCATCCCTCGTCTTTTGCAATCAAGTTCACAAACATCCTAAAATTTCAGCTTTCATCATCAGAGTTCAAAAGACACCATACATCTGCTGTGAGAGTGGTTGCCTGTTTAGAAGAAAAATTAACCAATTTAGCCTAACTTGCCTTAAAATCATCATTGGGGGTGGGGGGGGGGGGGGGGTCGTTTAGTAGAAATCACTATAATTTTATAAAGATTCAAATTAATGTCAAAAAAGGAACTTATTTTAATTTATAGTAGGCCTATATAAATAACTGTAATATGAATAAAGATAAATTCTAAAAGAAGAGGGCAATCTAAGTGAATGTGTTATCCTATACTATAGTGTACAGAGCATAGTGTAATCGGTATGATTTTGTTTTTGTCTACTAAAATACTAAAGAAATGGAGGATTAGTGAAAAATATGTTTAGGTTGTTTGCTCAGTGTTTCTTCCAGACTTTTTTCTCTGGGGGGGCACTTGAAATTTTCGGGGGGGGGGGGGGGACGGGGACGGGACGGGTCAACTTTCTTTGAGGGGGCGGACACTGTTAATAAAAGTATATATTTTCTATATAAATTATATAAATTTCATTTCGTTCTGGGGGCGGTTGAACTTTTTTTTTGGGGGAGGGGGGGGGGGGGGCAAAGATAGTCCCCCAGAAGAGATGCCTGGAAGAAACTCTGTGTTCACTTTTAATCTGGATGATTTAGATTGAAATTATACAAAATAAAATAAATGGTAGACTGGCCATTATTATGCTGACAACAAAACACACAGCAACTACCAATGTTTGTAAAGTGTTGTCATGTGATTACTTTTCAATTAATAATAATGTTAATATTACTAATGACAATGCAATAACACTGAAGAGGTGAACAGGGCTTACAATACTTACACTGGATTTAGGCCTAATTAAAAATTTTAAAATTTATTAGGCCTATATACTATATATTAATATAGTTTTTACTTTTTACGTCTAATTTGCAAGAGCCTTGATCATTTCTGATCCTAATAGAAGATTGCTTGATAATGATAGTTATTTTCTTTTCTTATAAGATACCTAAGATAGTAACTTAAGTAAGACTTAAAGCTACTCAATTTTTAGTTTAGTTTATGTTTAGTTTACAGTTTACTAGATCTAATATACTATTAAATATAGTAATAAGTACTAACGACGACGTAATTAATTTAAAAAGTTAAGGGTGGTATTGCATTGCTTTTGGGGCCTAAGGCAAGGGTTTACTTTTTTTAGCAGTGGGCAAGTAGTAGGCAAGTACATCTGATTTTTTTCAAAATCAATTAAAATATAGACCTAGATCTAGATCTAAATATTAAAATAGAATAGGTGTGGTAAGTTCTAACCATAAAACTAGTACTACACTACAAGCTAGATCTACTAACTACAACTAGTAACTACAGTAACTACTAACTAGTTCTAGTTTAGTACTAGAACTAGAAATCTAGTATAAATCTAAATTTAACTAGATCTAGATCTAATCTAGATCTAGATCTAGACCTAGGACCACATGACTGATGTGATAGATCTAATAGTCTAATAATATTATAATAATTCTAATCTAGAATCTAGATCTGGATCGGATTTTGAATCTATTCTAGTATTCTGACTTATAGAGAAACCACACAGTTCTGAGTTCACTACAATTGACTACAACTAGATCTAGATCTATAGGCCTATTATAAGTATAAATTTAGAGTAATGCAAAGAAACGTAAAAAATTACTATGCTTTCTTAGTTATCACAAGAAATGGAGTTACCCCAGTCTACTTTTGTTTTCGATTTAAACTTCTTCCTCATTTTTAACTGATTGAAGCGTAGAAATTAAAAACATTAACGTTAAAAGCAAATTAATTTTTACGGTAGCTGCTAAAAATTCGTAAAAATAAAATAATATAATACCAAATTAATAATGATAATTAATCTGACGATCTTATGGATTTAATTGAAAGCGTGAACAAAAATCCCTCCATGATTAATATAACTGCAATGCACTATGCTGAGTTATTGGCTGAAATTGAAAGTGTAGTCTTTCCTTGAAGAAAGGGAGTGGGGGGAAGGGGAATCACAATCACATAACACTTATCTCTCCCCAGAGCCGGCGTTAGGGGGTGGCGAACGGGGCGGTCGCCATAGGCCCCGCGCTTGAAGGGGCCCCGCGCTTCAGCACTGTCATTGTTATCTGAATTAGTTTGTAAACTTAAATAACTGTTGCTGAATTCAATTGGGAAAAACTAAATGGTCGAATGCCGACGTTGTTGATTGTTATAACTGAGGCCACGGTTGATGTTGGTGAGTCCCACCTGAACTGGGACAGGCCGTAATTCGATACAAAAATAGTGTCACACCTACCCTTTGTGCAGGGTACGGTACGGTCGCCTGGCATTTGACCTGAGCTGACTGGAGATGGCGGTCGAGAATTAGCCCACGACGTAAAGAGTAATAATTTTTAGTGAGCAGACGGGATGTCTATAGTAGACAGTTAGTGACCTGATGAACTCTAGTCCTGACTTTCTTGTTGTAGATGTCGTATATGTACAGTGTTTCTTCCAGACTTTTTTTCTCCGGGGGGGGGGGGGGGGGGGGGGGGTGGGGAAAGGGGCACTAGAAATTTTCGAGGGGGGGGGGGGCGGTAGACTTTCTTCGGGGAGGGGGGGGGTGGACACTGTTAAAAGTATATAATTTCTCTATAAATTATATAAATCTCATTTCGTTTTCGGGGGGGGGGGGGGAGCTTGCCCCCCCCCCCCCCCCGAAGAGATGCCTGGAAGAAACTCTATATGTAGGCCTACTTGTCTTGGTATAACAAAATTAACATTCACTTGCGTGCAGAGGGGTGGGAGGAGGGCGACGAGGGGGGGGGGGGCTTAGGATCTATATCAGGCGGCATTAAACAGAGTGATTTATTATTATTTTTTGGAAGAAAGTTAAAACTGTTGTTATGTTGTGTCACCCTAAGGATTCACCCGTTCAATAATTAAGACAATAATGATTTTGGTTTTAAAATATTGTATGAATTCTAAACAAATTTTGAAGTCTATACTGTTTTGATACATCAGGCCGAGTTCGCTGTATTGTAAACTTTATTTTCCTAATTATTCGGCACGTGATTAAATTTTCTTAAGTGATTTGGTATGAATTACATAACTGTTAAAAGTGATTTAATATCTTAGCAAAGGAAAAAAAACTACGAACATTGGGTTAATACATGAGAGATAAAAATCTGTTATTATAGTGGAAAGTTTGACATTAGCTTATAAACTCCAAAACATTTGTGTTATTGTGTGTACATCACATTATATAGGCCTTTTACACACACACACACACACATATACATATATACATATATATATATATATATATATATATATATATATATATATATATATATATATATATATATATATATATATATATATATATGTATATATATATATAATGCAAAGGCCCCGCGCGGATGGTTGGCCCTAGGCCCCGCGTATTCCTAACGCCGGCTCTGTCTCTCCCCCCCCCCCCCCCCCCACACACACATTCAGCAAAATTGCTGGATAAGCAAATAGACATGGTTCAAGCAGGCTAAGACAATGTGCTACATAGACTAAATAAGAAACAATGAGAGAAAGAGACTAAATTACAGGACAAACATGTGACGTCATAAATGGAAGATGCTTGAGAGAGGTTGGAAATTATTTAAATTAAAACATGAACCGGTTGTGATCTAGTAGCACGTTTTTTTCCCCTCAGCAGACGATCGTGACGTCAGTCAGGGTGGCGTGTGCAATATTCATAAGTTATTCAGCCCAATCAATAGATCGATCAAGGTGTTTTCACCACAGCATCAGACAAGGCTGACCTTATCGAAAGCGAGGCGAGCGCGCGGCTCAAAACCATCAAGCCGTGTTGTGGTTAGGATCAGCTGGATAATATCGGCAAGGAAAAAATTGCAATTTTTACAAATCGATTACATCGGGGAGTATCGATCTAGTTGAACCTTTGAAGTGAATTGACGTCTTATTAGTTATATCTGAAGGTAAGGGTTAGATTTTATATCATTTGTTAAAATTTAAAAATGTATTTGTAATCGGCTTTTTTTTTTTAAAATACGATACCAAAAAGTGTAATTAACATTTGTATTTTAATAAGGAAACCACTTAGCTTAATTTATTTTTAATTGGTTCGGTTTCTATTTTCAAGTCTTTTTTTTTTTTTTTTTTTGCTAGCTATACCTCCACAATCGAGTTTTTGGTAAGCCAAGGCCTATATCAAATAAGCTTAAACCTTTTAAATAGCAAGGCTTATATTATGGCTGTAGCTTTAGGGCTATGGACTAGGCTCAAGTTTCGGCCTAAATTATCGTTAGAGGAAATCCTGAAGCATAGACGGTTCTAGACTTTAAGGTACTTTTTCAGGAGGGGAGGGGGGGGGGGGGGTCTATAAGTAGGCTATATGTTTTGAAGAAGGTAACACCTCCATATCCATACTAGGACCCACCCACAGCTATACAATCTTTCATTAAGAACATAACATCTTGCAGGGCCTATATAATTAACAATAAGCAAAGTAGTTTTTAACTTTTGGTAGGCCTAGACTATTATTTTCAAAATAATTTTGAACCACAACTAGATCCGCATGGAGTAGGGTACGGCTAAACGAATTGACAGTATACCCCCCCCCCCCCCTACAGTAGAGTTCATTTTATTATATCTGCGATATACTAGACGTGCCATTTATTTTAAGTTAAAAAATATTAAAACATCTAATTAACAGTCAAATCTGGGTAAATTAATTTCTATCAACCTGTCAAAATTATCAGACGGTGCCTAATCAAAGCTAGATCTATCTCCACATCAGTTTATCTGCTTATTTATCTTGTATCAACACACAGGTGAGTGGCGTAGGCAGGGGGTATGTTGGGAGGGGTGCAAGATTTATTTCAGACATTTTTCCCGGAAAAGGGGAAGATAGAAATTTCCAGTGGGGGGGGGGGGGGGTGTAGGCGGACAATGGTTAAATTATATATGTTTTTATTTCCTATTACATTTTTTCCTTCCTCGTCGGCGGAAGGGGAGGGGGGGGGGGTCTGGGGATACCTGGGTTGAAAAACCTGGGGTGGAGTGATGGGGGAATTTCCCCCCAAAATGAAAGCTGTACTACTATAAGTTACAGCTAGTGGCGACATACCGTCGTGTTTTCAAAAGTTTAAATGTCTTCAAGTTATAACTTTTTAAAAATAATAATGGTGTGTATATACATGCTTTATATATAGGGCCTATATGAAAAACAGTAAGAATACACCCCGCCCCCCCCCCCACTAACACAACACACACATGACAAAAACTAATCCTGCCTACGCCACTGCTACAAGACAAGTGTCAAGCGTTTATCTTCTTATCTTATCTGTAACGAGCTGATACAGTGGTGACAGGGTTATGTCATGGGGTCACCTCGTTGTGTCCGGGTTACGTCATAGGGTCACCCTTGTTGTGTCCGGGTTACGTCATAGCGTCACCCTCGTTGTGACCTGGTTACGTCATAGGGTCACCCTCGTTGTGACCGGGTTACGTCATAGGGTCACCCTCGTTGTGACCGGGTGACGTCATAGGGTCACCCTCGTTGTGACCGGGTCACCCTCGTTGTGACCGGGTTACGTCATAGGGTCACCCTCGTTGTGACCGGGTCACCCTCGTTGTGACCGGGTTACGTCATAGGGTCACCCTCGTTGTGACAGGGTTACGTCATAGGGTCACCCTCGTAGTTTCATGCTTCTTTCACCAAATGTTTCGGTATTATTTCGTTGATGGTATTGATGAATCGATCTTTTGTCAATCTGGTCCACCGATATAGCTCTGCTTAGCCTCGCATTTATCAGGTCGATTAGTATTGATTTGTCTACTGTAATGTTACACAAATGTAGAGTTTGTTTTCTATTTTAAAAGGGAAAAAGTTAAAGTTTTTTTTAAAGAAGCTTCTATTGATTGATAAATGGGTACAGTAACATCTCAGTGCGGGGGGCGGGGGGGATGTAGTACGCACATGGTAAATCATTTTAGAGTGGCGACATTGGTAGTGGAGCAGAGGCGTAGCGACCCTTCCCGGCGCCCGGGGACAGACTTTTCGATTTGCACCCCCCTCAAGATTTCGATTTGCACCCCCCTCAAACTTTCGATTGCACCCCCCCCCCCTCAAGATTTCGATTTGCACCCCCCCCCTCAAACTTTCAATTTGCACCCCCTCAAACTTTCAATTTGCACCCCCCTCAACCTTTCAATTTATTTTTCCAACCCATTTTGGCGCCCCCTAAGGTCGGCGCCCGGGGACATATGTAACCCCCCCCCCCTCGCTACTGTAGTGGAGAAGGAGTGGTAGTAGAGCTGTAGACTGTTAGTTCAAAAGTCTCGAGTTCGAATCAGTGTTTTCAAGTCAGTAGAACCTCCCTGAGTCCACCCAGCTCTGATGGGTACCTCAATGAGATTAGGAAAAGTCAAGGCAGCTGAGCATAGTGCTGACCACACTATCCCTTCATATGCCGAGGTCACAGAAACTGATGAGCTCTACTTCACTTGCCTCATGGAGCGTCAGGTTCGAAACGGAAATTTTACATTGGTAGAAACAATAATTTTTAACGTTTGTCCAATGTGTCAGGCCAATGAGCAATAGCTTGAGCCGGTAGTCGTGAGTGTGTGTGTATGTGGGGGGGGACATAATCGAAAATTGTTACATAATAAACGATGCTTTAATTAGTACAAAACTAGTGGAGGTGAATGGTGACATCAAACCGGAAATGCGAAATTGTT